GGCCCCGCGCCTGCCGCCATCCTCCCTGGCAGAAAGGGACAGGTGCCTCGCAGGGCTGCTGCTTGACCGAAGTACTGAAAAATAACCGAGGTGAATTGAGTTGGTCTCTAGGAGTCTGTCGTGGAGACCTCCCGCTCCTGCTTGGGGCGGGAGGGGAGGGGCCACAAGGCGCGACAGCAGGCTGCCGGTGCCTACTGCGGGTTTGCGTTAAACAGTCATCGGATAAAGAGCCCAGAATCACGGCTCTTTCAGCTCAATCTCTTGCCGCTGTCAAGGCATCCCTTCTCTTCGTTTTGCATTATTTGCTACTTGGTGGCACTACATCAACAGGAATAGTGACGATTTCTTCTGGTGGTTGAGACGCGGGTCTGCATTGGCAAGGCATGGATCCAGGCAGAGGAAGGGTGTGCCTGCTCCTCAGTGAGGGGCCTATCCACACGGCCAAAGGCTTTTACACCGTTTCAACCAAGGTTGATAAAGTTTCCCTAAACTTTTTCCAAGTTCTCAGTGAAGGAGAGTCCCGCGTCATGAATTTAAGTAGGGTTGCTTTTGCTAGCTGTCATTCACAGACACATCCGTCTACAGGTTAAGAAGAACTGTCCTCTAACAACTAAACGATGGCTACTATCTCTTCATTTAAAATGCTTCTGTGTCCTGTAGTCAGCGTTTTTAATTTCTGCTGTGGTCTGGATTAGACTCTACAAGCAAAATGTGCAGGCAGTTGTAGACGGACAGGGCTGTGGGTGCTTAATGTAATGTCCTGATGCTAGCAATTCTTTCAGATTCCTGGGAGGTAGCAGGGGTTTTATGGGTCACTATTCAACCTGAGAACATAAGAAATGCTGTAACAGGGCATACCAAATACCTAGCCCAGGGGACCAGGCAAGAAAAGAAGAGTAAGGCAAGCACATGGTAATCCTTCCCTGGCACAATTTCCCAACCTCCAGAGCGCTGCAGCTCAGGAGTTTCTGAAGACAGCTGTGCTGATAGCTGGGGGTGCCTGTGCTTTGTCAGATCCTCAGTTTAAAGAGGTGAGGGATTTAGTGTCCTATTTGGGAAATGGAGAGTAGCACTGTAACTGTACTATGTGAGTTGTGCTGTGTAATGCTAGTCAGACAAATACAAAGTCACGATGGAGATATGTCACCACCTACTGAAATGGGACTAACTGTGAGGACTGCAACAGCCAGGGAAACAAAGGAGCTGCAGTTTATCTTTCTTCTAGCAAGGAAAGAGACAGGGAAGAGACTTAATGTGAAACCAAGAAATGAGAGACAGGAGGTGCCTCCCAGGTACTCAGCGTCAGCTCTAATTCCTCTATTATAAGCCTCCAGGAGCACAGTGGTTATAAACAAATAAAGCAGCTCTTGGAGAAGAGCTTTTCCAAGGGGAAAGGAGTACTAGAAATCCAGACAGAGGGGCAACCAAAGATGTAGGGCTATCAGAATTACTCAAAATAATTTGAGCCTAAGCCTGCTGCAGGTCCTGTGTTCTTGATTCCTCCCCTGTGTGGGTGTTAGTGTTTGTAAAGGATGGATTTGCCTGAAAATTTATGAGGGAAAATGAAGTTTTCCTTGACAGACAGGTGTCCCAAAAAGACAGATCATTTCCTTGATCCAGTTAGCCATGTGTCCTCAGGAGCACTACTATTGGCACAATTGGGTAACAAGGACTCTGGAGTTGTGCTTTCAATGGAAACCCATGCTTTGACTGGAAATATCAGAGTAGTATGAGACTATAACATCTGTCATGATATTGAGATCACCTTGACTATCTAAGGTCTATAAGTAGAGAAGTGGGATTTTAACATCTGCTTCATATGAAACAAGGTTGGTAGACACTGGCATTTTGTAGCACCTTTTTGGCAAAGAGACAAACTGAAAGTCTAAAGTATTTTTTAAAAATCTCAGTATCACAAATATTTTCCTATATTAGTGTTTGATGTTTGACAAATAAGAGACGTTGCACAGAAACAAGCACAAGCAAGGAACATTTTTATGTCGAAGACACCTAAACTTCTGAATTTTAGTGTGCTTCAGAGTCTTACTAAAATGTTTTTGATTAAATAAACTATCCAAATCATCAGAGTGTCAGTATAGGAACAGGGAGGTTTATTTGTAGCATTTGCATTAAGTAACTTTTTATTAGTTATATTTTCTTCCCTGTAATTGAAATTTTTTTTCCAGTATACATTAAGTTTTGTATCTAATTAAGGTTGTAATTGTTTTGGTAGAGACAGCATATTGCAGTTTCCCAAATTTTAATAAGATTATTTTAACTGAATAATAAATGACATTAAAAAAAAAAACCCACAACTTTTAATAGACTTTGTTCTGTATTTTCTATGTGGCTTCTGGGTCTTATTTTAATTTTCAGTGTCTTTATTGTCTTTCCCTATACATTTACTTCTTCATTGATTTAACAGTGCTCTATTCTCTTAACTAGTTTATTAAATGCTGTGGTTATAATCTCTGTGGAATCCTCAGTTAATTGTGTTCGTAGTTCTGTAACGGTTTGCAAACATTTTGTTCTGTTTTGATGTTGCCAGGAAGGCCTGTTCCAGGTTTGACAGTAATTGTCCACCTGACAATGAAAACGCACATTTTTTTACATAAAGTTTTACTGCTCTAGTCCATACCTATCTTGAGGTGATACTTCAAACGCTAAACACAATTATTTAAAGCCCATGCACATTTTCTTTCTCATCAAGAAATAACTTTATATAAAGTCAGATTTGCTTATAACTTTGAGGGTATATGTGGAAGGTGTTCCTAGCAAAATAGACTTTGATTTCTGAGCATGCCAGTATTACCTGTTTGTCAGTCTCAGTATAGTAGTTCTAATCAGCAAGCACGCTATGTTCAAGTCAAATAAAAAGGGTATTTCTTTGTGATGGCTAGATCTTAAGGATAGTCCACCATTAAGAAGTATTGCTATAAAAATTCATCACTCTCTTACCATTATAGCAAGTGTTTTTTATTACAGTGTAGACAGCTCTCACTTTACATTCATCAGTAAGTCTTTATAGCAGTGTGAATACATCTCTTAATTTCTTTATGCTCTGAGGTATTTCTGTTCATTTCTTGTAAATGAACAAATAAACAATCTAACTCCTGTCTCTTAATATTCATAATCTGAGGGGCTTTTCTTTCTGTCTGCTTATCAGCTGACACAGTAGGTGTTGCCTGTGGGTGGCCAGGAATGTGCCAGATAGACTATTTTGAACTGAATTTCAGTATAGTAGATAGCCAAATTTGAGGTACTGGCGTTTTCCTAGCTGTGGCCATAGACGAAAACAAATTTGCAGCAATAGGTTTTGCTATCCGAAAAGTTGTAGACAACTGATTCTTGTCATGTTTTGGTATGCTTGAATAATGAGAAGCAAATGTCCTGTGAAATAAACTGAAAAAAGCACAATTGGTGGGAATTTCCATATTTCTTCCATTTTTATATTTTGTTAAGTGCTTTCAGACATTATTAAAGAGTTCATTCTGAATATGGTTTATTGATACCTTTGTCCATTTTTAGCCCTTACTCTGATCTGGTAAATCTGTAGATAGAAACTAGACCTGGCATCTATACATCTATACATTCTCTGTGCACAGCATAACGGGCAGTATGATGGTCAAACTGTTTCATGCTCTCAGTGATTTTTAAATTACAAAATTTCTCAAATGTTTTTTTGTTTGTTCATATACTTGCCTAATAGTAGTGATTAACAAACATGTAAATATCTGTTTTGCTGATTAAGAATACCAATTAAACACAGACACCAGAGTGTAAAGAGCAGGTGTATTTTACTGGTGATAACCAAATAGTGTAACAGTGTAATACAAAGACATGCAGTAAGAAAAGGCAGAATAGTGCACTTAAACCAACAAACAGGAGAATACAGGGTAATGCATCAAATCATTACTACATGAGAGAGAGAATAGAGATTAAGAAAGACCCATCACCACTTGCACACGTTCCCATCACCCAGCCCCGCAGTGGCTGGGCAGCCCCAGTTACAGCGAGGGTTTGGGGAGCCTGTCCCGGCAAGGGGGAAATCCTATGCGGTGCGTCCACCCATAGGTGAGGCTGCCAAAGTCGCTGTGAGCGGGCCCAGCCTTATATACCAGAGATCGACAAGCCAGAATAGCTGTCACCTTTGTTCTGAGCAGAAAATTTCTGGTTCCATTCTCCTGTTGGATTCCACCCAAAGCCTGGCCAGGGCTCGGGGTGGGGGAGACCAAGGGAGTTTCTAACAAGGCCAAATACTTGGGTTCTCAGCCTTGAACAAGGCTAAAAAAAGGGAAGTGGGATACATTCTCTCAGCATTTCATCCTTACCACTGATTATATTCTAGGCCACATCTTTCACTAGCAAGCTTACACACTTTGTTAATGATTACAGACTAAGTCAGCAGCTTCGGCTTGGGGCCTGTTGCTCAGGCTTCAGTATTTCAATGCTTTAGCACTTTTTACATCAGCATAAGTGGGTTTTTATAACTTAGTACAATACCTACTAGCACAATGGTTATCGGTTATAAAATATACAGGATTCATCTACAGGTCAACTCTGGCATGTGCCAGTTGTCCAAGCCTTAGCACTTCAATACAACTGCAAAATCACTGTGCAAAATATTTCGTGATCCAGTCATGCTTTCAGTCACTCTTTTCAGATCTTCTGTTCTGCCTCCGTGGTAT